AGAATTTTGCTAGTCAGACCATCTGAAGACATTAACAAGAAGGCATTTCTAGCTGACAATGCACCTCGTGACTTCACTATGTATTAACAGAAATTAATGATTTAAGATCACATAATAGACTCACAAGGACAAGATGCATTTATCTGATCACTTGGATGTCCTCTCTTCAGTTATTAAGAAATACTGCAGGGTTCATACTATGTCACCCAGCTAAGAAGGATTATTCATTCCGTTTCACATTTTCTTTATACTCCATAAAACAGAAAGGATTTTTTTTTTAATTAAGCAAATATGTGATCACACATAGCTCAGAATTGATCATACAGGTTTCAAAAAGGTAAAAACCTCACTATGTAAAGGTTATCCTACTTGTTAACAAAGACCTTGTTTGAAGAGACTGTTGCTTGCAGGTAAGATTTAACTGCTTTAAAAATAATAAGATAGGGTTGAGCTAACAATACCTCAATAGAACTCCTTCCTCTTGCTATTTAAATATCAAAACACAAATCAATCCATGCTAACATTATTTTGCCAACCAAATACTACTGAGCCTGAAATTTTCATGTCGTGACTCAAAAACTGTAAAACGATGATGCATGTTTTCACCAGCAAAATCACTGCTTTCACTTTAAAGCAACACATGATTCGCCACATAAAATTCTGGATAATATCAGATACTCTCTTAGAATTAACAAGGTCAAAAGAAAACAAGTTACTGATTGAAAACTAATACCATCTCTGCAATTTTTCTCTGTGCATCTAGACAAGGAAATACGCAACTAAGTGTTTCGTTGCCACCTACACTACAGTAATTGTCCCACATTTTAATAGCAGCCAACTCATTAATGACCACCACAGTTGTCCATTCATCTTCAAGTGTCCCTGATCTAGATTATTATTTACTTGCCAAAAATGGTCCGTGAGACCATAACCATTGTTTCCATCTCTGCATCTGGAAGCACAATTCCAAGCTCAAACCACTCAGCTAAAATCTTTAATGAAAATTTGAAGCCTTGGAGTCTATTTATGAGAGGTTCTTAAAAGGTATTCAGATTGTCTGTATTCCTCTTGAAGACAAGTGGAGACTATCCTTCCATACTGTACTGAGACAGTGATAATTAGATCTCAGTTAACTTGGTTCAAACTCCAAGATCTCGAAATCCTGTTAAATCTTTTTTATGTTTCCATTGCTCCCTGTACAACAGATATTTTCATAGCTGTGCTCAGTAACTGATTTCACAGGCTAAATACAGCAGTTTAACTGTTAGGACTGATTTGAACCTAAATAAATACATACTACATATTCACTGGGCACCAATATTAAATATCTAATGTTACAGTAGCAAGTACAGATTTAACCTTAAGCATACATCTAAAGAGAAAATTAAGATCTAAGTCTATTTGATTTAAATTATTTTACCAGTCAGGGACCACTCCTTGTTGTTCCTGGTGCTCTGTGATTAAACATTCTTATATTTCACAAGCAGGTAACTGATCAATGTGCTAATTCATTAACTAATGAAAACGTCTGTGCTTCAGACATGTCTTATGACTTACGCACACATACACACACACTGTTGGTCTCCACAAGTACCACTTGCCTGCAGCGTTGGCTGCCTTCCTTGAAAACAGGCAGCACATAGTTTATTGACAACCAACATTAAATTATTATTGCAGTATCTTAAAACAAAACAAAAGTTAAATAAAGAAAACCCCCAAAGTTTCATTTTCACTGTGCCAGAGAATCATGCGTAAAATTCAGAGGTTTAATTAAAGTTCAGTGCTGCGACCTATATGAAATTACAAATTTTTGATAAGTGTGTATGCTATCATTTGTTTTACTTCGGTTACTATTCCCACTGTCATTCCAAATGCCATGAAATACAAGATACTAAACACTAAATCATCACAAATTGCTTTTGACAATTGTCAGTTTTCTTCCACTCATCCATTTATTTGTTTTACATGCTGACTGTGCTCTTGAGAGGATATAAAATGCATTTCTATTGGTCTTTCTATCATTCTCCTGTAATATATTAGGAGACCACACCAATAAACAGGACTAAAGCAGGAGAGTAATTTGATTCTACATTATGCTTGAAATAAGTATTTTTGGGCTTAATGAGCTGCCTGTGGCTGTTAAGGCAAAAGGTAAGGAAGAACTGTAAATATCAGTTAATGCTTCCCTTTGCAGATAGCAGCTGCAGAAAAAAGTTGCTTGTGGAATGCAATTGTTTGAACCTGTACTGCAACTAAATGCTCTGAGACTCTTCTTGACTTTTAGTATGTTTTCAAGTTTTAAGAAAAAGTTGAACTCAAAGACAGACAACGACTTTCTCTACTAGATAGGCAAATAAGATTTTATTATCCTGGATAATATGTAGTAACATATTTAACTTTGGGTCTTCCCATCCTTTTTTATGATGCGTTATTTTCTAAAACCATTAACTGAAAACACCCTAAGGAAGAACACGAAAAGTATCTGCAAGGCTCTATCACCTCAGTAAGCTATTTTGAGAATTTCTGTTGTTCAAAGTTTTGGAACTGCACAACTATGTCAACAACCATTTGTTCTCATATGAAACCGACAGCTATGTCAAAATTTCAGGAGCTTTTTTTTCCGCATTTTTAATGAAGAAGCTTTTCAGGAATTCAGAAGCATTTCTTCAGGGTTTTGATAAAAGAATTCAGCTGAAGGCAGAAGCCTGTCATCTTCATTAAGAAGGGTCTCACTCCGTTGTGTTATCTGCTTCTAGGGGATCTCTCACTTAAAGGTTTTCCTGTCTTGCTAACACATTAAAAGCAGTGATCATTTTAACCTCACTGCAATGCTATGAACCAAGAATCTATTAAACTTCAATACAGAAAAACTGTTAAATTATTGCAGATGATGGTTTTGTATTACTGTGTGTAATATCTGAACTTTTAAAGCAGAAAGTGGGAAGCATTGTAATAGCAGAATACTAATGGCTACAATTCAGTGACTACTGAAAAGAGCATGAGCTCTCAGTGAGAATGCTGTATATTTATCTTATGAAAAACACAGCTATGACTAACTCTTTGAAGGGTTTTCAAAAGAGCACTGAAAAAGACATATTCAAAAATAACTCAAGGAATCTACTCAAGAAATGGTTCAGGAAAGTTATGGTCCTCTGAGACACCTTCCTCAAGCACAGTTCACTTTTCAAACACTGTATTAGTATAAACCCCAGCTCTTGTTCCTCAAATTCAGACAACAGCCACAAACCTCTATGTGCAAAACAACTTAATTCTGAAATAACAAGATCCTCAAGTAAATAATAGAAGTGAGAACATTCTGGTGGTTTGAATTAAAACAGAAGACTCCCTATGGTCAAAATACAAAGCATCACATGAATTGTTAATTCTCCAAGACAAAAACTTAAAAAAACAAACCACCACAAAACTGCAGCACAAAAATGCTTACAGTCAGTACACTCACGCGCTTCAAAATCTTACATGAGTGTTTGATTATTTATATTTGGCCTATAAACACTAGATACATCTGACTCCATCCACAGTCAAGAACTGCACTCCCCAAAGTATATTGTATTCCAAAAAGATCTGTAGATATATCAGGCATTAATTATTTCAGTATCTACCACTTATTGGACTCTAATTTGTTGGGCTTCCTCATTAGCTCCTGAGTAAGTTATTATTGAACCGTATTTCAACAGTGCTTGCTGCTTTTCAGTGCTTGAAACAAATTATGGGTAAATGGCCACATATGAAATACAGATCAATTGACCATTACCCATGGATAATAATGAAAAGACTTGAGGAGGCTGTGTGCAGCTTCAGAAGTACTCAAATACCATCCGAAAGCTATGAAGAGCTGAGAATGGTGTTAAAGTATCAAAATCATAACCAATATTCAGTTGGTAAGTAACTGCATTCCCAACTGAAGACATAAATATTATCATCATAGCTCCTAGTGAAAAAATTAAGTGCTTGAGAAATTAATGTGGGGTTTTTTTCCATCTAAAACCAACAGCAGAAGAGCTATTTACGTGACATACTGAGCAACCACAGTTACGCTTGACAGAAAGCTCCAGCACAGCTTTTATTCTCGCTGCATTGTTCTCTCTAGTAGTCAAACAGACCCATTTCACACAGTGTTCCCTCAAAAATAGATAGACTATCTGACACTTTCCCATGGTATTATGGTAACAGTGAACGTGCACTCACACATTCAATTCCTTGAAAACTAACTTACCTCATTAACTGTGTTGTTACTGTCAACCATGAAACTGTATTGGGGAGGGGGGCTTTGTCCTTTTCAGATTACACAACACAAATTGAAATACCAATTAAAGGAGCATATTTAAAGACTTTCATTTTTTTCTTAAGTGAGAGCTGCACATAGTATTCCAAAAAGAAACAAAAAAGTAAAAGAAAGAGAAAAAGAAGCAAAGGACACTGACACAAGAACTTGGAAAAGAATGATGGTTTCAACCCACATATGCCAGAATCATGACGAGGTGTATTAAACAGTTGTGATTTTGTGATTGAAGTGCATATTGTAATTGTTACATTCTAAGTCTTACTTGTACTTGCAGAGGATTTTGATTTAGCAGAGTGATATAAGTCAACTTGTTACACAACAAACATTCCACATGTGGAATATCTAAAAGAACCTGACAACTTATAGTTCCTGCAGTTAGGAGTAGTAATGCAGATAAGCATGATTTTAGGATTAGGGTTTAATTATAATTTAATTTGAAAAAAACTCTTTATCTGTCTGCAACATACCCTGCACTTTTAAGAGGTATTATTACAAAAGATTCCTCCCCTCATGCTCTAAAGTGAGGGAGGAGTAATTCTTGTAATAGACTGCCATGCTTAATAAAAACATACATTTTAAATGATCTTCCTGCTATAAAACCATTATATGAATTCCATGGTATTGCACAAAGTATAAAAGAGACTGTCATTGCATAGTTTTAAACTTAATAAGAATATTACGAAGTAAAAGAACGTACCTTTCATTTGTGTTCCAAAGGTAAGAGCCAATTTTGCAAACAGTTCTGGATCTTCAAATTTATCTTCTTCTGCTTTTACCCAAAAGCTGTTTTCTGCTATCTCTTGAGGTTCAATCTGAAACAAAACCCAGCATTTCCAAAGTTATTAATGAGTATTTTCATTAACCAAGTTAAAGCCAATACTACTAGCCTTCTGTTGTAATTGGACTAAATTGAATTTAGGTATGTTCCAGGTATTATGTTCTCTTAAAGATGCTTCCTGAACAAAACATAATCAGATGAACTGCCTTCTATCAACACAATGATTTTTATTACATTTCTCCCGTTCAACAAGTTTTCCAAACAAGCTTGATAATATATTAGCATCTGGGTTTGAAAGTGTTCCATTTTTCTCTTGAGTACTTTATGGACAGTTCCCAAATTCTTCACCACTGATACGCATTCCTGCTACTTGATAACTGTAAAAGAAATAGTCTCTCTTACACTGCCAGAGTACGGAATACCTTATTGCCAAATGATATGTCAATGTAGACCTTTGAGGGATTCAGTATTAAGTCTGTAGGAAGAATTTTAAGTATCATAAATAATTTTATACTCAATATCACTTTTTTAATATCGTTTCCCTGTTTCAAATGCAAGCACAGGTTTCATTACAGTACCTTATCCAACACTGGCTATGTTAAAATAAGTAGTACTCTGCAACACAGAAGCTGAAAGCCAATTTTACTCTTCACATATGATTCAGAAAGGCTATTTTGTTTTCAAAATGTGTTCATCTTCTAGTTTTTAAAGCCTTATCAATTCTTGTTTTCAAGTTTGTTTATATGCGGATTCTTTTTCAAGGGCTATTTAACTTCAAGATGTTATGCAGGAACTTTATCAATACTATACTTACTATATGATCAATTTGTTAATGTGTGGTTGCTTTACCACCAACTGCAGGTAAGTCATCTTTTAAAACCACCTTAATCCAACACTAATGGTGAAGACAGATACAACAAAAGGCACTAAATTAAACAGTAAGAATTTTATTCCCAAACTGATGGCTCCCTAAAAGTGATGATCAAATAGACTTCCCTCTCTTTCAGTATGCAGGAGATGTTTGGCACTGTTCCCAGAGCACTTAAGCAAAATGTCCATCTGCAGTTACTTTCCATTGTCATACACAGCGTACAGATGTATGTTTTGTAATTTATTTCTATCAACACATAAACATAATTGATTACAATGAAATTGGCTGCAATGACAAATACCTATTATAAACTAAAAAGCTTATTCTTCTGTATGTTTATGGAACAGCAGTCTGAGTACATTTCACAGTCACAAAAATAGTGCAACTGACTCTAGATGCAGATACTACTTAACAAGGACCACTCAGTGTAGAAAGCCTAAGCTACATGTATGGCAGGAATTCTTCCCTGCTTAAGTGAGATGCCTAAATAAATGAAAAAGATAAAGGAACTGTAGGAGAGAAACTATCCTAACCAGACAAAGCAATGGCAAGTCCAAGATGAACAGCAGCTTCAGGACAGAATGATATTGTCAATGGCATGTAAGTTCTCTTCCCCCACTTAGAAAAATTGGCAAAATATGTCTGTGATAAAACCTGTATTTTATAAGGAAAAAAAGTCCAGATGGAAATACCCAAACAGATACAAGTGGTTAATATAAAAATCTGTAAGTCAAAGATCGTAAGAGATGCTAACTGAAATAACAGCCACAAAATGTTTTCTCCAAAGCCCAGGTGGAAATGCATTTCCAAAACATTAGAGCTCCATTTCAAAAGAAATAAAAATAGTTAAAAAAAAAAAAATCCAGAAAATTGTATGATAGAAGCTTTCAAGAGAGGTATCTTCTAAACAGGAAGACAAGGGCAATCAGTGGTAAACTATCTTCAACAGACAATAAACATTTCATAGGAGGGGAAGTGACCTCTTTTATATAAGGGTTTTAATGGTTACAAAATTTAATAATTCAAATTATTCATAAAAGTAAATGAACTAAAAGGGCTTTTATATGACTAGATTAATTTCAAAGGAAAAAACCACCTCAAGTCTCTGGATTCCAACACTTGGTAATGCCATATTCCTCAAAGTAAAACACGAGCATCTTTTCCAGTATGGCATCCCAAACATTCTTGTTTCTTTTTAATAATACAGCTAGGCTACTTAAAAAAGTTCCTTTTTTCTTCTAAAATAAAAAAAAAAAAAAAAAAATAAATTGGTGTGACTGGCAGGAGGTTAAAGATACTTTGTAAAGATGTTTTAAGAAAACAGCAGGACTATACAATTCCTTTTAAATTCAGAATCATTGAAGTTAATATTTATTGTCAAAAATTTTTTTATTTTTCTCTAAGTGCACTGAAAATTATATGTAAATAAAGAAAGGAAACCCCTCACCAATTTCATTTTGCTGCACTCACTACAGTTACTTTTAATATTACCCTCAGCTACAATTCTCTCTATAAAGGGGCCTGAAGTCTTCAGCACTGTCATACTGTAGCACTAAGAATGCACACTGATGCCTGTTGTTAGATACACATTCAGATTGTTTTGGTATGTCTCCAAATATTTTTAACTCCAGTGGCAAAATAATAAAATTACGTTAATAAGCATTAATTTTTCTGGTAAAATAAACTATAACTTGACAGGCCATGCTTTTCCACATTGGTTTTACCTCAACCTTCTAGATTCCTCCTTCTACAGTTAGTGGGATTAACCATTCATGATACTGCTCTTATGGATAGTACTCCTAAGACAGAGCCATTTCACTGCTCAACACTTCAGAACTCAGAGGAACACAAAACCTAAGCTTACTTCTTATTGAGAGAAACAATTAAGATCACTTATTCAAAAATATCAGAGGACAGTTTAGTTCCTCTTCCAACAGTAAACTTCTTGACATTACAAGTTCTTGAATAGTTTTGCTTTAAGAGGTGAAGGTATATATTCAGAAATGAATCAAAGCATCCTACACTGAATGACCTGAAAAACCCCACAGGAAAAAAGAGAATCATTTCCAAACTGTCCAGTGCTGTTGCCCTAAAACCACCCATCCTCAAATACACTTAAAACCAAGATTCCATTTTGTCTGACGGAGTAGATCAGCTATGTAAGAACTCAATAGACATATGATCCTGTGTCCTAGCAATAGTATGAAGTCAACAAAGGACTGTTAATGCTATGCAATGATGTGATTCATTTCACAGGCTTCATATTGAGAAGATAGAGCATCTTCAGCCAGGAGCAACATCTGGCATCCCATGTATTCCAGGTCCATCCAGGACAACATGATAACATCCAACTTGACAGAAAGATGTGTATCTATATCCTTATGAATTTCCCAATAGTTTTACCAGCTGTGAAACATCCTGAAAAAACCTGCACTGTTTCAGAGCGTGATTTAAATTACAAGTTCAACAGTTGCTCAATGTTAAATTGCAACTTATGGTCAGCAATGACCATCTGTAGCCACTTATCAGCTTACTTTCATCAGCAATGATGATTTTACTAAGTTCTTGGTACCAACATATTATTGAAATATAATATGGTTTTCAAGGAAAGTGTCAGACACCAGGCTAGTAGTACAAAGATTTAGTATCTTGACGAAGTAGTAGCAGATACCCATTCAAACTACACTGAAGTCCAAGCTAGAGCTCAAACCAGATAGTGTGCAATATATGAAGGTCCTCCTTTGATTTGCCTTGATGATTTGGCGATCTATGTATTTTTATCCTAGGGCAAACCTCAACTCATCTATTGCATTTTATACCCTTAAACTGCCAGTCACAAGCTGCCTTTAAGATGTGATGGTTTAGCGCTGATGATTGATGCAATTATCTAATAATCCAAATTTACTTCCTTTATACAGAAGTAACAGTGACTATACTGATTAAAAAGGTGTTTAAAAGCCACACGTATGCAAACACATACCTGGATACTTGCCTGACTTATCTTGTCAAAGTGACCAATTATACTGGGAGACAAGTAATAACTAGTAGCTGCTCTTACAGGTTAGTTTGCAAATCAGAGATTGTGCTTGCAGTTTACTGCTCAAGTAAATGCTTATCCCTTAAGGTGTTATAAAAATTGAAATTTGATTAAATATAACCACGTTAAGACTGTGCAGATGCTCACTTTCACTGAAAGTTAACGGTGTCTAAACATCCCACTTGAGCAGCCCCAAAGCTCCTCCCAGTGGCCACAACTCTGCCCTAGCACATCACTGGTTTGAAACGACCAACAAACACCTCAGATTAATAACCTACAGGTACCACTGTAGCACAGATACCAGCATTCTCTGAACTTACAACTACATTAGACATGACGACCTTAGAAGGTTTTGATGTGAGACAACATACTGTTATCTATGCTTGAAAACTGCTCTAAAACTAGTCCTAATAGATTGGATAGACACATGCAACTTACTGCAAAGCCACAACTCATGTTCATGTCACCTCACAGAATGATGCCCCATCTTTTCATTGGGGACATCCCCGTTTTTCACTCTGCTCTGACAGACCAACAATACAAGCAACTCTCTACAGAGCTGTGAAATTCAGTGAGTAGTCAACCCACCGATCATACTCCACATACCTCAGAGGAGTCACAGATCTATGTCCCCTCAGATCTAGCCTCAGGACAAGGCCTTAAGACAAACACAGCAGTCACCTACTGCCACCTCCTGCTGCCATCACATAAATCCACTGAGCTTAGTGAACATTCTCTGAAAGCTCTCATGGGAAGATATCTATCACTCAGCCATGTGCAACCCAAAGACCTTTTTAAAAGATTTTTGTACTAGAGCTACGTTAGCTCCCTGCGATACCCATATGTCAAACACCCAACGCAAAATTCTGTCAACAGGAATCTCATTTTTAAATTCATTTTATTATACTTTATCAACTGTATTTTTTTAAGTAAAGGGGAGGAACATCAGCTTCATAACTCTTAAGAGCCATGGCTTTAACTCAAGTTTACTATCAAACCACATATTGCTAAAGCAAGTGCAGTAATAATTTTACACACTAGATAGCTAAATATTCACTCCAGTAAAAATGTCTTCAATGCTTACAATAAAAACTGATGTCTAACAACACCACTGCCTTTAGAAGCTTCTGATCAGTTTTGCAACTGTATTAACAGGGTAAACACCTGCCTTTCTCAGAGAAAGAAAAACAGTAAGTTTTGTAGTACAACTAACATTGACAGGCAGGTAAGGCAATGAAATTCCAATTTCCTTTCAAACTTCCTGAAGATATCACAAAACCAAAAGAAATGTGAACGTGAAATACTGGAATAAATTTCTTGATCAGATGCTTTAATTTACAGTAAATTTATGTGTTTATTCAGAGGATTTATCTTAAAATAATTCTTGACCTCATGTCAGGACATCTGCCCTTAAACAGAAAATTTCAGTAGTTTAAGATTGTACACTAACTGTTGTGGTAAGTATAGAGTTAATTCTTTTAATTAGGAAAAATTGTTTTGCCAATGCTTTCCCACCCTTGTCTTTTTAAGCTAGCCAAATTTCTAAGTTTCATGGAAGACTTTTAAAATGAAACTAGATAATCCTATGAATTGCCACCACAGTAGTTTCACTCATAGTTCATTTTTAAAAGAAATAGAAGGCATAACCAGAGCAATCATGAACTGTTCTGTCAAGAAGGTATCAAAGATAAAAATTACAGTCTCTGTAAGCCTGATCCGCTTTCAACCTGTAAGCAAGCAAAAAAAACCCTCATAAACCACATAATTTGTGGCTCCCACAGCCTGCTTAACCCAGAGAAGGCAAAACTAGTTACGCTTTGCATTGTCTTCCAAAATACCATATGCCTATTCATACCAAGTTTTATTGCAATTTATACCTAGAGACTCAAGTAAAACCTCTTAACACATCTCCTTTCAACATCCTTTCTTATGTCTCACACAACTACTTCTATTAAACAGTCTTCCTAACTGTTTTCCACTCAATTGTCTGCTTCAAGATGCATTTCCCCGATCTTAAAACCCAGCATTACTTCAACTAACTCAACCTTTTGCTACAAAAAGGAGTAACATGATTTATCAACTAAACATTTCAATTGTTTGTTAATTTAAATGTGCTTTAAAGAAGAAATTTTACCTCTGAAGTGTTCACTTAGCAAGTCAAATATCAATCACAGCTGAAAACATGTAGAACTTAATTCTACACAAAATCAGCCAAAATTGAGAACTGTTAGCTACAGGTATCCCTAGAACATGGGGTGTTATGGGCTCCTGGCAGCATTAAACACTTGGAGCTTACCCCATAGCATAAAGTGTCTTTGAAAACAAACTAAATCACATCACACCATCAAAAATGTTTGGGATCAAGACTGGAATGAATTTCCCAAACACAAGTACTATAACAATCTAATATAAAACCTAGGACATTAAAACCTTCTTCCTCAAAAGCCACTTTTCATCAATGGGAACAAACACAAACATTGTAATACCTTTGACCAGTTGATTCTCTTCATTGAAACTTCCAGCTTATACTTTTTCTTCTCCTTCATCCCATGTGGTAATGCTGGTATGACCGGAAAGGGAGCAAAAGGAACACCTCCAAGACCTGGTGGCATTGGAGGCCCACCAAAAGGCGGTGGTGGAGGAGGTGGTGCTCCACCAGGTAGCGGAGGAGGTGGAGGAGGTCCTGCTCCACCAGGCAGAGGAGGCGGTGGAGGTATTGCTGCTCCACCAGGCAGAGGAGGTGGCGGAGGTATTACTGCTCCACCAGGCAACGGAGGAGGTGGAGGTATTGCTGCTCCACCAGGCAACGGAGGAGGTGGAGGTATTGCTGCTCCACCAGGTAGGGGAGGCGGTGGAGGTATTACTACTCCACCAGGTAGGGGAGGGGGCGGAGGAGGTGGTATATTCTCACTTGGTAGGGTTGGAGGTAACGATGCTCCTTCTGTCAGCTGACCTGTCAGGCCAGGCCCCTGAAATACAAAAAGAGGAGTTCTTTTCATTGGGGTGCAGAGAAGGTTTAATATGAATCTGAACCAACTAGGAGGTCTTGTAGTCAACTGTACCTCAAGAAAGTGAGAAATTCAACCATTCGCCTATTTAAATGAGAAGCAATAACAATAGATTATGCCATGTACCATAAAACTGCCAAGTAAACTGAATAACCTAGCATTTTTATAAAAACAAATTGTTTCCATTTTAAAGAAAATTTAATAGTAGCAGTAACATTTAAGTGAACAGAACAGCATTTTATTTCTTACCAATGCACAAAACATTTATCCCACTTAGGATATCCTGGCAAGCTGGGGCATCGGGGATGGTAGTAACCACACTGAATTTTAACAGCAATTATCTGCTGCTGGAGAATTTTCCACAGAAATCACTGAAGCAGCTATTGCAGTGCAAGAGGTTAGTTAGGACCACAGTTGTTCATAATTATCGTGACATCTTGTTTGGGGGAGGCGGTGGGAAGCACACAACAATCATGCTTTCCTTTGTATCCATCTGCAGTTATCTCTGCAGTGATAAGAGCAGCAATTTCACTACCCATTCTAATAAGTTGTAAAATGAACAATGAAGAGAAACAGCATGTTAAACCATTACAGAGGTTTCTGTGGTGATAACATGATCCTAGCCTATTAGAAATTCCTCAGAGATTTTTGTCCTTCAAAACTATCTGTTAAAAAGCAGCATCAGAAGCTATGCACAAACCACCACATAAGCTCATATTCTATTTCCTCTACTAATTATTTTTTACAAAATCATTATGTAATATAGGCTGTTTATTTAATCTGATCTGCATACTATTTCCCTATGCAATTATTTACTGTTTCTAGTATAAAGGAAGCAAGTTTGTCTCAAAAAACAAAAAATCAGAGAAAAATCTGAGTGAGTCTAAAAGTAAATGCCACAATATACTGTATGGGGAACATAACACTACACAGAAAAGGCACAGATACTAGAAAGCTAATGTGTATGACTTCTAATTGTACTGTCATTGTGAATGAGCAATAATGTCTGGATAATCTGAACAGTGTTAGAATCAATATAACAGGGTTAATAATCAATTAGACTAAAAATACATTTTTGGCTTTGCACAAGGCATGTGTTTCTTTGGCCCACAAACTACTACACAAGTTGTAATGCAACAATGGGTGAACTCATTAAAACAGACTGTCACATTTCAGTGTAACATTGTCTTGCAGATATTTGTAACAAACATTAAAATTGGCAAGAATGAAGTATGAACAGAAGTGTCTGTCTGAAAAAAAATTAAGAAACCATAAGGCACCGCAGGTTACAAGAATGCCTTGTATTGATAGCAAAGAACACAGTGAACAGCAACCCAGCTGTTAAATGCAACATAAAATTCCAACATTATGATGAGAAGGCTGGTGCTCTGGTAAGGCTATAGGACAACTTGTCAGCAGAAGACCAGCATCCTGAAAGCAGGATGATAGCAACCAGGTTATAGCACATCACATGTGATTCTTCCTTTCAATATCCAAATAGGAAGTGAGACCATTAAGATACCCACAATAAGGAAAAAAAGGCAACACACAGACCTTGCGCCAAGCTTTGAAGGAGTAGGAAATAAGCCAGGCTGACACACACACACACACACACACAAAATCATTGGTTTGACCATCAAACCATGCTGGTTCCTAAAAAGTATAAAAGATCTGTCTAAAACCCAATTCATTATCATTAAACAAAAGAAACCCAAGACATGTTGTGAGGGCTCAACATGCGGCATTTCTTGTCCTCTCTGCTTCACCAGTGATCCTGGACAGATAACTTGGAGATACAGTTTTGGTGCCTCTGAGTAAAATTCATGAGGAAATGAATGCAATTGAAACCAGCTTTGTTGAAATTAAGTATCACCTTCATTTCCATAAGATCTTGCATTTTTTGTTATACTTATCTATGGGACTCTATAAAGTTAACGTAATATTCATTTTAGAAATGGCTACAGTCAGTTATCCAGAGTTCAAAAAAAATTATTATCTGTTGCATGCACATGCTAAAAGTTATGTATATGGTGCATGCATAGGTATCACGATTTCCACCTTTGCAATTCAAGTAAAAAGTTTTCTGAAACAAACACTTTCTGTGAAACATACAGAAGTAGTAATGTTAAAGCATAAACAAGTACTTGGAGAAATAAAAACAAACTCAGGTTGGATTCAAACTTTTCATAGCCTATGGAAATTTTTTCCTCAATAAAGCAAGTATCTGTGACAGATGTTGAATATACTACTATTTAAAACAAACGTTACTTCCAGTAACTATCCTTAGTAGTTTATGCTGGCTGAGAATTAAACCAATATAACTAAATTCATACATTTTAAAGTCTGTAGACCATACATTCCTGGGTAATTTCTTTTAATTATTAAAAAAAATTCAACTACGAAACTTACTGTGATTTAGTTTTATTACCTGGGTTCGTAGCTGTTTGATTTCTGTTTCAAGTTCTTTGATTTTCTCTTCTCGTTTCTGAAGCTCTGCTTGTGCCTCTTGTCGAGCTGTGAACTCTTCATCAAACTGTAATGATTAACCAACACATAAGTGTTTGCCCATGTCCAGAGTAGATACTATCACAAATTCTTTGAACAGTATCACAACTAGAGCAATAGATGCACTTTTCACTTCTCTTTTTCTTTTTTTTTTTTTTTTCTTTAAAAAAAAGGCATTTTCCCCAATATGTTCTTCTAGTACCATGTAATTTGTTCCACCATTAAGTCATGACACAGAACCACTAAGATACAGGTATACAGTACAGCTGAAAGTTCAACAGGTCGTTCCCCCCTACCCCCCACAGAACACTGCACACTTCTCAAACTAAACTAGAGAAAACATCCCACACAGGTGCTTAAATCTGAAGAGAGACGTGTGCAGCTTCACCGGTATCATCCGTAAAATAATTTAAGAAAGGAAGTACCCAAATAAGTCAGTGATCCCTTTAGTCTTGATGTCCCCATTTAAAACGTTAAGTCCAGTTTACACCATGACTGTGAGAAATTTGGTGTGTATTTTCAACCGGCTACTGTTTGCTAGGCTTAAGAGATTATCAGCATCTTTCAAAGCTTCTGTAACTCACTCACCCATAAGGCAAAGCAACTTACCACTAGGACTAACATGTGTTGACTGTCACTAACAAAGTACCTTATGATAAAGAACTCTGCCAGGAAAGCATCACAACAACTTGCTTTCTATAAAGACACCATAGCTCCTCTTAAAAATGCCTCCACATTTAATATCAAAGAGAAAAAAATTAATGACAGCATTCAAGTCTTGAAATTTGAAAGTTGTAATCATTGTGATCAAGAACATGTACTGCCTTTGAGTACTGCCTTTGGGCCTGCAAAAGGCTTCTTGGACCAGATCAAACATCAAGATTTTTAATATGTTTAATACACAACCACATAGTATATGAACTTTAGTACTACTGCAGCTAATATAAAACATTCAGCATTTCAAATCCTTAGACAGGAGGTGATGAGCTGAGATTAACAAATTAGCCAGTAACATAATCTAAGAAATAGAGATTGAAGTAACCTGAGAAAACACATTGTAGCAAGATACTTTCAATACAAACAACAATAGTAATAAAGTAGAAGTGTGAATTTCTTTAAAAACACACCTCCTCCTCCAAAAAAAAAAAAAATTACAAGAAACATACCAAGCTGGAATTCTTACCACAAAAATAATTTTAAATTACCTAACCTCTCCTAAATTTAGTGATAAATGAAAACTGCCCATCACCAAAATAGGACCTACTTATCAAGTTCCTAATAAAAGAGTACTGAACCAGAAGAATAAATGTTAGCAAAACTGGTTCCAAAACGCTCTTTAAGATTACTAAACATGAATAGTAAGGAAATAAATTACTCTCCTACATAACATAATAATTTACTATGGGCATTATAGAGAAATAAAGCAGTATTTTAATGTTAGCATCTCTACGCATAAAGAGCCAAGAAAAATCCCAAACCCAGAGAGCTATTACATGTAAAAATATCCTGCCTGTAAGATACACTATTTACCAGTTTTCACTAAATTTCTACCATGAAACAAGCCTACACTGTTCCTATCAGGCTTCTGCTCCATACCTTAAAAAGAGTGATGATTAGGACTTACCTTTCTGGAAAATTCTGCTGCTTTCTTTTCACTCTCTTCTACTTTAGCTTTGTCTGCACAAGCATCTGGAATTTAAATAAGATACAACACAAGTCACGTAAAATGTGTCACAGCTCTGAGGTGCTTTCCAATCCTACTTACTCTATGACCCCCATGACACAAAAACTAAATTAAAAATACAATCACTAGATTACTCTGACATTTGGTGAATTATTTTGATGGGCAAAAATCTATAAATATATAAAAAAATTTGATAAGGACACATGACCAAGGAAGCTGAATCATCATAGTTTTTCTGTGTCTGACAGATCTCTGTTTACATGCCCTTCTCTCTTATATGAATCTACTACTATATTAGAGATGAAGAAAGGATCTTTACATTATTATGAAATAATAGTTACTTCTGAGGTTTCAAATCACAAATCCTCCTTTCCAGATTAGGAATCCAAAATCAAGCATTTCCTTATTTCACTAAAATTATTTCTTAGGCAAGGAGAATTTGGACAGAGTGTGAAACACAGATTTCTTCACTCAATAATACAAATTACTGCTATTGACTTTTCATGCAGTGTAAAACTCTAAGCATGTTATAAGACAGGTAAACACAGGTAACTATATATTATAAATAGGATCTGGCATGGAAAGACGAACCAGTTGTCACTAAAACTAGTAGGTCAATGGAAACAGAAGGAAAGGTGAGGTAGAATTAAGTGGTCACACTGATAGATTGTTAAGTGAACAGAAAGATGCAGAAATACTTCTTAGATATGCAGGATACCTTTGAGGAAGCAGTTTTCTCCCCCCCCCCCCTTTGCTTCTTTTGTCACATCACCAAAAAAACATTTTCCAAAAATAATGTGTTCTCCAAAAGCAATTACTTCCCCCTATGAAATATTTAGTCCAGAGATGTCATTGTATTTCATGAGTAGAATCTACCCTAGAAATCTTAAGAAAAGCATAAAACACCTCTAAATGCTGAGAACTGCCATTTACATCATACAGTATTTATTCAGCTGCTTCATTCCCATGTGATATGAATATCCACAGTCCCACAATGCTTTAACTGATAAATTTATCTTAAACTAACTTTAAATACTTGGAAAATATTACAGAAAATACTCTTAGAATGAACCACATAACAATTATAAATCCACTATCAAGTAATGCTAATGTACATTTTGTACATTTTGAAATTTCTAACAGACCTGACGTTATGAATGAGCAATTTTTAGTTATTAGGACTATCATATTCAGATATAAGTCAAGATAAATTTGGGGATACAAGCTTCATCAATGTCATTTCATTAAAGGCTGAAGAGTTTGATCTGGCCTTCTCCACAAATACACCTACTTACAGAAAACTAAAAAAAATTTCAGACAGTCAATTTAAGTCTAGATAGAAAAACACGAAGAATGTTCACTTCAGTAAAACAAGGTAGAAATGCTTATAGTATACAAACCAATAAGATGAGTAAAATCCACATCCATTCTTCCTCTACATTTAAAATCTGGGTCTGTGCCACTGGAGTGCAATACTATTTGTGATACGCATTCTTCTATTATCTTGTAATACTGAGGTCTAAAAAAGAATTCATTGTAGAAGATAATAAGATCATGAACTATCATTTACGCAAGATGGAGGGGGGGGAAAAAAGAGAAAACCAACTCAATATATGCATTACAAAATTGTCAGTAAAACAATCAAGTTCATGGACTTATTTGTATTCTGGCTACTAAAGCACTGTTGATAGATTCTCAGAAATATATCTGAAAAAGTTCAAGACCCCACAAAATACTGTGCACTTTTCATTTATCCTTTGTCAGACAGTAATCAATATACAACACCTATACAATTTTCAATATACACTATAAGAATTATTTAGCACATTCGCAACACAACAAATTCTATCATTGGCAACAGTACCAGTATTCAACTACTTCGAAAATGAGTTACCATTTGTTTGATATACATCTCTACAAAACATCAGGAACCTCTAAGATTAGGGGGTTCTGTGCTCAAAATTATTAGTTCTTACCAGTACAAGGTATTACATCTCAATTTCACATAGCATTTAGCTCTCAAAGTTGGACAACCCTCAAAATTTAAAATTATGATATTCCTAAGTTTAAATTTTAAAAAAGTTATAAAAATCAAAGATTTCTCCAGCTACATTTTGCTTAATTTTATCATTTGCATATAAATTGTTGATATCATCCCATTACAACAAAAGAATTAGTTCTTAAAACAAGATTTTGCACGTGGTGCTTCGACACTGCTAAGACACCATGAGGTGCACATAAGATAAGCTTACATTGAAAATAGAAGGTACAAGACCCTAGGGAAGTATTTTTGATTACTAGTTATACAACTAACTTGCCAGTTCTTTGAATTCATGAACCTATGAAACTTGAATGAAGGAAAAAGAACTCAACGAGTTAAGAGATTTTGGGATGAGAGTGCTAGAATAAGGTTCAAATCTTTGAAATAGCATCATTATATTTAACAAGTTATCTTCAGTATTAACATTGAGGAGAAAGACAACGCATCAGTTACAGCACAACTTCTCATGTACAATTATGAGCTACTCAGGGTCTTGATTTCTATCCTTCCCCCAATCCTCTCCAAAATAAGTCAAACGTAACAGCTGACACTTACCGGATATAGTAATCACTCCTAATGAGAAGGAAATGTTGGAGAATCGACAGGAAGTAATTTTCAGAAGAAGTGTCTTTCAACATATTATACAGCAGATGAAATACTTCATTCACATCAGTGCAAACATTGTTAAAGAAATACAATGACTTTAAAAAAAAAACAAAACACCGAAAACCACCACAACACACCTAAACAGCAAACAAAACCCCACCACATCCTACACCCAAAACACAAATAAAACCCAAAAAAAAAACCAATCCACAACACAAAACACCCACCCCAGTTGCCTAGATGTTCATATTGTTGAACTACTATCCTTATTAGCAAATCTCCTTTTTCCACTGAGATTATCCACAGAAACTGCCCCCTGTTTAACAATTAAGATGTTTCATTACTACTCAGAAAAATTCTACTACATACTTATTATAGACTCCTGTAAACATATTTCACACAAAACTTTCATTTTTATTCTGAAGTAAGCCAGGCTATTGGCTTAGACACACTATAGTCAATCATTTTAATTTCTTGAAAGAAGAAAATTACATATAATTACCTGTTCTGTAATGCAACAACACTACTTCTTAGTTATTTTATACTCCTCTCATTGGTGGCATAAATCTTCCACTGCTGCTAAAGTACCAGCTACTACTCTTAAACTGCAAGCAACTGTTCTGAACTTACATAACTTTAAATTTCCTGCTTCTTCACAACTAGGTAAGACATGCACCTTTAGTGCTTCAAAACTTACTATAAACTTTGTTATCAAAACTCATTTTTTCTTCAAGCTTACAATCTTCTATGGGTATAACTTTATATCTTCATGTATTACAAGCCCAAGTTTAGGTTAGTAGATATTTTTTATGAAAAATTAAATCAGTTCCCAATGACTTATATTTCACATGCAAATTTAAGGACTAATTTTCTAAAAAAAAAATGTAAGGAAAAACAAGCGGAAAGAAACCAACTTGAGAAAGTCCCCAACAAGATATGCCAGTGTGACAAATGAACTGCATGTAGAGCATTCCAACTTACGTTTCATAACATTATTAAACAAGGCAACAAGTTGTAACACCATTCTATAAAGGATATTCCATTTCAGCTCTGATATCATTGAGACGATGTGACAGTTCAATTAAGTCTTCTTCTTTGTTCTCATCAAACACTTTCAGCTGAATATCAAGCTCTTCATTATCCTTATCTTTCAAGCCCTATTTTTCAAGGCATAGTAGATCTTATTTTTCCCTTTTTTAAAGCAAGATTTCCCCCCCCCTTCAAAGATTATATCATTACAAAATATAAAACGTTAGCATTTGGTAACTCTGTGTCTGGGGTTTTTTATTATAATTACACAGCTGAGAGAAATTAAGACAAACTTGCAGTGAATATAGCAGGTATGGGCTGCAGAACAAATATGAAGCCTTCTAATTTAGTTGAGTTCTCTTAACGGGACATAGTTAGCAGTTTATGCTTGCTAATGTCAATAGTTTCTTTTAAAAAATAGCATAAGGATATTTTAAAACATTAATGAAAGTGAATTTAAGATGCCTAAAGAAGTGTAAAGAAGATATGCTTACAACTTCTGTTATTAAGTTTATCTAGATCATTGCATAAAAACAACAGTGCATCGATGCGTACTTACAAGGTAAATGGAAAAAAATCAAAACAAAAAATTAGTACTTGGAGGCAAGAAAAAAATTGTTTTTCTTTTAAGAAATACAAGTAATTTCTCTAATACACTTCAGTACAAGTTTAGCTTCCTATCAGGCAAATCACAGAAAAGTGAAACTAGTTTCTAAGCCATTAGTGTGAATGCACTTCCCTCTTTAAATGAAAATTTACCTAGAATTGCGTAACTGGATATGAACAAACTGAATGGCAACTGTGTAAATTCCCCAAGAAGTAGAAACTCCAACTAATTCTAATGGCTGAAAACTAGAGAAAGCTACTGTGAATCTGGACAGATTAAGAAGGGAAAACATGGATCCTCCTCCTGACTGTTTTCTGTTCAAAATACTCTCACTGATACATTCCTTGAAAATTTACGCCAAGGCACAGATATGAGCATGAAGTCTTCTTAAGATGCTTTATCATTAAGACAGTTGCTTTCTAACGCAAAAAACCCTCCTCTATCTTGGACATTCATTCCCTGCAGAATTAATGATCTGATCTCAATGTGTATGTTGTAATTACTAACTTACCAACAAACAAACATCAAGATGGTATTGAATATTTTAGTTGGTATTACAGCTTACGTGAAATATTAATTAACCTTACTAGACAGAATTTCAACACAATAGCTTTTTAGAAAAGATTGTTATCACTAAATATTAATTACTTTTGAACTCATGTATCTGTCAGTAACTCTATTAAGTTTTCTATCATCATTTACTACAATTCAGTTTATTTGGCACCTAACACCCCCCCACCCCCAGTTCTTAAGTTTTTCATGCATTCATTGATTGTGTAAACTAAATTTTAGGACATTAAAAAACCTAAGAATTCTTCAGGCTTTCAGATGTTCTACAGCAAATAAAGACAGCAGATCACATTAATGTACGTATATGATATAAAACCTAAGTACATACCCTAAGAAAAATCAACATATGCACAACAGTAACAGTTTCAAAGCTCAATGTGCTAAAACTGAAGGTTCTTCTTCTTGACAAATGGTGGCAGTTCAAAACTTTATATCTTAAAAGTCACGGCAGTATAAATTCTGTTTCAGAGAAATATAAGCAGGCACTCTTTCTCTTATCCTTTGTTAGAAACTGTTGAGTAGCTTAATTATACATATTCTAGTTGTAAGCATCAGAATGGTATCTTGGTTAAGAGCTACAAATCTACCCCTAAGTCCCAAATATTCATACACAACTACCCCTAATGGCATACTTCTATGCAGCTGCACAGACATGCAGTCTCAAAAAGAATGGACTCACTTGGATTTTTTTTTTTCCTTAAAACTCCAAATGCATTTTCAGAATGCAGATTAAAGAAAAACAGATTTCACAGAAAACAGGAGGAACGGCATATACAAAGAAAGTTAATCCAAGATTGGTTCCACAGCCAGGCTCATGTTCACTGCATGTGTTTTGAGCTCATTACACTATATCTGACTACCCTGATTTATTTCCTAACATATTGACTTGTCTCAACTACCCCTCTGGTTTACATAGCTAATGAAAGCCTAAATTTTCAACTATGCAGATTGGATTGATATAGTTCTTTCCAGGTCTGACCTTCCCCACCCCTAATCTCTCACATCTGCTTCTGCCAGTAAAATGATTTTATTATCTTCAACAATCACAAACAATTACCTGTGATAAATTCCCATACAAAAATGACTTACAGGCAGTATTTTCTTCAGGCCACAACGTAAAAACTCATTTCTCAAGTGTATCCTGAAATCAAGATCGTCTGGAGATGTAACAAGGGCATTGATGAGCTGCATACACGCTACCTGTTACCAGAAATACAGGCAAAAACTTTTAGTATGTGTAGAATGAAAATAAATACTGTCTTTGACTATTTCAGTTTAATTATAAAACCAAATGTCAAGAGGTGGATATTATTCATTATGCGGCACACATGCAACACTTGACTTTGGTTAATTTAAGCAAAGTCAAATACCCTTCTGTTTTCACATGTCAAAATTGTATCACAAAGGGTCCTACTTTTTTTCAGAAAGTTATTCCCACTCTACAGCTCCACACTGCAACTTCTTTGCTTTCTTGTCAGTATTCTCCAATTTGGAAACAATCTATTTTTACAGTAATAGAAATTAAAAAAAACCCAAAACAATTTAAAAACCCACACACACTCCCATACACAAAATAATTCACATCACCAGGTGTCTTCTCTACTCCTGCACAGTACTACTGCAAAATGTCTGAAGTCTCAGGATACTGACTAATGCTTTAATTGAACAGCTGTGCGCTTTAATTGATTTACTTTAAAACAGGTAGACAATAGCATAACGCCAAAAGTGCTGATACACATTAAAAGACTAAAATGGGACTCCAGGGAAATAGCAGGTTTGGTGGAAGATGTTAACTGCAAATAGAAGTAGCATTAGAGTAGGTAAATAAATAAATAAATAAAAATCAATAGCTGCAGAGAAAAGAAGTTAGATAAAAGCACCCTTCCTGTTTTAATTACACTCACTACTTAGTCTGAATGAAACGCCTTATGGAGTCTTAAATTTCTATTAAAATCCTCTTCCAAAGGCACTCCCTTTATATAGCTGCATCTTCAGATAATGTAGTATCATCATGCTCGCTTGAATGATTCTTGTTATTTTACTACTATGACATAACTTAACAAGCCAAAGTACATGTCCAATCTGAAATTAATAGAGAGAAGAAGTGCCATCTGCTATGATTGCTTTTGCCAGAAGAGACTCTGGCTTAATGGCTTGTACTAATACATTACAAGTAAAGAATGGTTTTGTCAGAAACAAGTTAATGAGTCTTGCAATTCTACCTTTACTGATGTATAAGTGAGGTTTCGGCAAGGAGTGGGCAGGAACTGTGTGTGGCTGGTTTTGTTTGTTTTAAATCAACAAGGTCATAAAGTAGGAGACAACTTCAAAATTTATTCTGTTGTGATAGCACTATTAAGATTAGAAAGTCATTTACAGAAACTTATTGAACATCATTAACTTATCAGCTTTGAAAGAACTACTTATGGTAAACACAGTGTCAAGACAACTACAGCTGCCATATATTTAATCTAAAAACGGAAAAAGGTATCCCTTCCATGCAAGTATACCTGCTCTGCATGCTTTCTACTTTTCCATATCTTTCAGCCACAGTACCTTAGTAATACAAAATTTGACCATAAATACTGTATTATGAGAAGGAAATAAGTCAAAGTTATCCTTTAGTAGGATATTCAACCACTTGGTCTCGATGCAAAAACTTACACTTAGCAAAACAAAGCAATTAAAAAAGCTTGCATTCTGATAGCAAACGAAGTCTCAGGCTATTCATGCGTACACACAGATTAAAAAAACTCTATCCACTGACACATAAGCAGCAATGAACATGTGACACAGGACATGGCTCAAACACCACTAGCACAAAATACTGTTTATTTATCAAAGTATTTTTTAAAACTCACTAAAATGTCCCTAGAAACCTACCAATAGCTGATGAAGGGCAGATATCACACACCAAGGCATGCGCAGCTCTTGTTAACGAGTAGCAACACTATCCTGCTGCACACTACTCATCTCAAAAGGTACCCTGCCAAAAATGCACACACTCCACCCACATCTCTCATAGTTGTTATACTTCTGAATATTTAAGAGGCTGCATATACTGTTACCAAAAGTCCAAAAGTCCCAGCAGCACTAACACAGCTGCATGTATATCTTACAGTTTTCTTCTCAGTGGAAGAAATCTGCATACCTATCCCAAGGAAACACTGTTACATTTTATAGTGAAAAGACTCAAAAGGACAGGTTAGCATAAAAAGTAAATTATTATACTCTACCTACAGGGTAATACCACTGTAGTTGCTGAAGTAATTTTTTTTCAAGACAAGGTTTCATAGAAGCTCAAAGAGAGTTACATTAAGCTATGTGTCTATCTTCAGCTGACTATTATAAAGCCAGTATACTGAATGTGAAAGCTATACAAAATTATACTTGACACTTACCAGTTTTGACTGTAGCTTTTTTCTGCTTAATGTAAGAGGATGGCTGTGTTGGTTGACACTGAGCTTTAAATACCTAAAACTAGCAGTTCTATTTCCACTCAATTTACTTCTATTAATAAATGATTAATGAACTATCACTATCCTTATATCATTAATTTTTCATAAAAAGGGCAATCATTCAAATTTACCAGAGATTGGCTAGGATTTAACCTAAGTTGTTGTTACCAGGGAGAATAACAACATTTCCAAAATTCTTCATAGCCAATAAAACTTCTGATTGCAGTTCCTAGAAAATTTCAGTATAAGAAAACCCTTCAAAATACTTAATGATCTTAAGATCTATGCTTATTTATTTCTTCATTCAGTGATATTACCAAAAGGTAAACAATACTGGAAGTATGTTCCTCACACAGATACTTCAAACAGTAAGATACGTGAAGTGTGCGCTCAGTTAAGACATTCTAGTTGTGGTTCTAAATTAAACTCAAATACTCACTTCAGGAGCACAATGCCAATCTGTTCTGTCTTTTTACAAAAATATTACTTCAATGGAATCAGTTCAGACCCATAAGTACAGGAATTTTTGTTTACTTTGGGTGGGGCAAGACTGGGGGAAAAGAGAGGTGTTTAAACAAGAAATTTAGTACTTGTTCATGACTCTTCCCAAAACCTAAAAGATATACAGGGTCAATTGCCTCCAACTCCTTAAACTCCAACTTCCTCAGGGTTCAATAGCAACAACTAAAACATTTTAGAGGACAGACTGAGTGCTGGATTTTTATTGCTCCATTAAACCACACAAAATTCCCAGTCAAGAAGATTAAGCACTGACAAATAATAAAGTGCTTTCACAGACTTATTACCTGAGCGTGACATCTGTCATCCAAGAAAGAGAGTATCACTAATTAGATTCTTTTAATTAAGGTTAAGACTTTTAAATCCTATTTTGTGTACAAGGAAGTGAGTTTCTTGGTTTCATACCATTAACAATCAGAAAAAGAAGAATCAGCAGGCCATTTCTATTTGTACTTCTTCCTTTACTGAGCACTGGAATAATAGCACTGAACGATTTTACTGATAATTTAAAGATCATTAAATAATACACAGTATTAAATAAAATGTAATATATTAAATTATATATTTTTTAAACTAAAATTTAATATAATATATAAAGAAAAGCAAACCTACCTGCAGTTGTAAGAATTCATGGTTTTCCAGTCCTTCAACAATCTGAGAAAAACGTTCCCTATTGTGCCTTTCAGCAGCAGTTGTTATAGCACCTAAAAGCTTGTCCAGACTAAGAGAAAGATAAACTGTCAAAAAGCATGCCACAGTCCTTTCTCATTTTAAAGATACTTAGCCTGCTATTTACACAACTCAAGATTTCAATGCACTGAGAATCTAAATGCATTTAACCACAAGTATCTGTATCAAGGTGAAAACAAACCAAGAATCAAGTGTTACAATATCTACAAGATTAATGTTGAAGAAAAAAAAAAAAACAAAAGGTGAACAAATCTCCAAAATATTGTGACATTCAGCTAAGAAACAATCAAGGAGTCACTACCTTTGCAAGATTTTATCTAATTTAGTCTAATAATCTTTTCAGAAAGCAAAAAAGTTTTATCTATTTATTGCATAGAAGACAGAGTTTACCATTCTTAACCTTCATTAAACTAGTACACCAAAAAATTCAAAGCAAACATATGCGAAATTATTATCCTTCTTTTAAAAAAAGATCATGGACATGTGCTGTATAATTCCATAACTTGAACTACTCAAAACTTCATGTATAAATACAAACATTTTGCTGCTATCACATTTATTGGTTAGGTAGAGATATGATATTTTAATACAATCCATACATATATTTATTTTTATATTATTGTCTTCTAACTAATACAAATCCTAACACACGGTGTCAAATCAGTAATTTTCAAATACAGTAATATCACCTCCCATCCCAAGGGAAGATGTCCCAGTCTCAATTCTCCCCACAGTAATGGGCCCATACAAATATAAATTGTTCTAAAGTGTCTTTAAAAGTGATAGTTTTTCTTGTGGCAATTAAAAGTTCACAATTCCTGATCATACTCAGAGATATATGAAATAACTTACTACTTTTTTTCAGCAGCCATTTATGAACAATTATGGCTCATTAAGTCTTCTCTATAGTAAGCAATCATGGCCCTTTCAGACCTTTCACTTAAACCACAGTTTCAAGATCTCTGCTCACTTGCTTTTGTCCAATTTAATACTGGATTAATGCATTGGATTATGTGAAAAATCTCTTTTCATTTAAACTACATTAAGAAAGTAAAAACTTAACAGGTTGCATATGTTCCAATGACAAGTGTTCTCACTTGTGTCTAAACTGACAACTCATTGGTATATAAAAAAAAATTGTTTCAATATCTTACTTACAGATTTTCCTCTCCAACTATGCAGATTGCAGAAAGTATTTTCACTGTTTCGGTCATCATGTGTGGTTGCTTTGGATCAATTGCTCTTGCTAACAAGAAGAGACTTCTTTCATCTCCTAGGATCCTTTGCAGTCCGTACTTAAAGAAACAAAAAGCTTTCAGTGAAAAATTTTATTTGCCTCGAATATTCATCATCATCTCTGGGCTTCAGATGCTTAGAGATCTTCACACACACACACCCCTATATGAAGTTTGGCAACACTCTACTAAAACCTTATGGCTATTACTGTTCGGGGACACAAGTCAGTCTTCTTGAGCTGACATTTGAGGCTTTCTCCTATGAAAGCAGTCAGCTCCTAAGGAAGATACTGTATGTTGTAGAATCAGGTATCGACCAAAAGACAAATCAGTTTTTATTTTCTGTCTGTATCTGGAACACCTCAACAGTATGAAAAATTTGTTCATTTCTTTTTCTCTGGAACTGTAACAGCTCCTAGCAATTCAAAATAGTATTTTCCACATAATGACCAATATAAGTTGAAATTCTGTCTTGAAACAACTATCTTCTTACATTTATTCTATGTTCTGTTTCGCTTTTGTACAAATAAATCAAAAAACACTTATTTATTTAAAAGTAGCATTAATTTTTATTTTCGTTTTCATTAACTACATGATAGTTGGTAAATCAGTTATCTGATTTTTTGAAGTTACACTTTAAGTGTAGGGATAGTGGGAGGGACGTGTTTAACTATTTTAAGTTTACTTAACCCACTTCATCAGGCAGGCTATTCTGTGAGATTTTACTCAACTGAGTAACAGTAGTTAAGAGTAACTTCAATGCACAGTTGTATTTGTTAAAGATGGGGGGAATAAATCTTTATAACAACACTTCAGATTTTTCTATGAATAAAGCAAAATTACAAGCTTAACACATCAACTTCTAGAAACTCACACTTTGCGAGGATCAATAACCCACGTTAAGAAACAAGTTAGATACAACTTAAACTAGGCCAAAGTTTTATCCTTTACTCACTACCTACCAACTCTAAAAAACTATAGATAAAAGGAAATTAAATCATACTGCAATCATGTGAAAAGTACACTGTATTAACAAAACCACTCATGTATTGAAATATGAATTTAGAAATATTTTCCTTTGAAGTTCATGAGCAATTAATTTCCAAACTCACCTTATATCCATACTATCATCCTCTGTTTGACAAATATTTTGCTTCCAAAACTAAATAATATTTAACAAAACTAAGCCAAAACGCATATTCAGAAAGATTTATGAACAAGACTCTCAGCAAAAAGTTACACTAAGTTTAAGACCTACATTTCAAGTTGACAAGACTCAGCTGACACTAGATATACAAACTCTCATTTTTCTGAGATTCAACATGCTACATAGATCTTTAAGTCATCAACACACAGTAATGCTACAAGCATTTGAATTTAAAATATTTCTTACTTTGTTGTTCATAAATGCTTTGAGGCACTGGATAAGTTTATGTTGATTCTTCTTATCAATACTTTCCTGCCTTGAAAAGGAAGAGGTAAACATCAGTACAAACAATCTTCACAAACTGTCCCATCCCTCCCTTCAAATGATCCAAGTTCTTACTGTTTCTTGTCCAGAAGTTTTTCCAAAGCATCCAACAGAAGTCCAAGACCTTCATGCCCAAAATTGTTAACCCAGCTGGCAAAAGGAAGAAAAATGCATTTCGTTATTTCTTAATCAAATGTACAACTTTTAAAGTTATGTCTCCAATACTGCTTCTTCATCTTCATAGATGCCGCTTTAAGTCGCACTTCCGAGGAAGACCCGATCAACCATTCAGACAAATGCTTAGTTCCAACAACTAGAAGTTGTTGAGAACTACTGTGAAAGGTGAGGAGATATTGTATAGTCGCAAACATTTCACTTATTCTTTTCTAGTGTGCCAAAAACTACTTTCTCATGTCAAGAATCATTAGAATAATTACTCTGCTAAAAAAACAAACAAAAAAAAAAACAAAACCACAGGACCCTTTATTGCTTAGCAAGAACAGCATGATGAAAAACACAGCAGAAATTATTACTTACCTGACTGGATTGCTAGTTAGAGACACTCTCAAAGACTCTAGACAATTAAGAAGCTTTTCCTCTGAAATTCCGGATCGTAATTCATGAATATATTCTTGCGATGACAGGGTACATTCATGCTTGCTGTTTTTCAGCCCACCCTATCGCAGAAAACAGAATGCTGCTTAATGTTATGCTGACCACAGTAGCGTTTAAATGGTAACAAGTAAGGCCAATATTCCTGTGTGAATTTTAAAATCAGTTTTCCCTATAAAACTATTAAAAGACACCTGACTTGATTTTAGTAAGTGTTTAATAGTTTAGGTTTTGCATCACAAGGGTAAATATTTTTCTGGAATCTTCTTCACTGCTTTGAGTGAGGTGCATGTACTACATCTTGGACATAAAAATTTAACTCCATCACTCAGTTGTATTATAATATTTAACTGATACACACTCTCATTTAACATCTACTTCACAAATACTCTATTACAAACAACCATAAACAGAGACACACAACAACTCCCACGCTTGTTACTAAGCTTGTCTGATCATTCCCCCTGCACCTAACTTCCATTTCAAAAAAGCTGTGCATTATCACTATGGGCATATCCTTACGCTAACATTAATTCTCTCTTCTCCAAAACAAAGGAAGAAGTTAAGACACTGAAAATTACTTTGAAAAGGAGGTGGTATCCACCAGCTGTTAAATCAGTGCTTTTGAAATCATGCAACTGCATGACTATTTCTTGCTGTACCATGTTTCCATGTCTAGTCACCAATAGAGATCTTTAGAAGATCTTATTTGCTACAAAAGAATCATAGTGGAGATTTGACAAAGAGCTCATCTCCCCGCTCAAGTGTCAGCACAGAAGAATAACTGCCTACAACGTATTTCAGTACTGAAATTCCTGATAATCAGTTTTTAGACCGGTAGTATTCAAAACCATGAACAATATACAAGACGTTTTACCAAAGAGTGCAGCTAATCTTTTGCACAGCTCTGACAAGCTGCAGAAAAGTAGGCTTATCTCAGAAGAGTGGTTATGATTAATATAGAGTTCCTAAAGCTCCTTAGCTCTAAATGGTCTGTTGAAGAGAACCGGATGAACATGTCATGCGTCTCAAGGCAACATGGAAAGTACCTGACCTAGAATAGGATTTATATGTATTTGGTTTTAATTGTATCAGGAACTTCTCCGACTACTGCCATCTTCTAAATTGTCTTTCAAAAAGCTATACATGTTACAAAGTTTCTGGTTTGTTCTACTCAAATTCTTACCGTCCATTTTCAAAAAGATGACACTAAGTATGGCTAATGACAAAGTAGCTTGTCTACATTTAAGTTAATGATTTTGACAAACATACATTCCAGTATTAATGCATATAACAGAACTATGTAAATTTTCACAATAAACTTTGTTTGTCCTCACCTCAAAAAAACAAAAATCTGACACAGATTGTTAATGCATTAAGACAACAGTGTCCTCTGGATGTTTCTTGCTGACATGCACAGCACCTTCAACTGGACAACGCATGCCAGTTATACATCAAAGGACCAAGACAGACAAAGATGAGTAAATAGGATATAAATAAACCATCAATGTCACTGTCAACCTCCTAAACAAAGAGATGGTCTTCCACCAAAGGAAAAAATAAATTAATGGGAAGAAGTTATCTCTGTAAGCATAGGAACTAACTTTAAACCAGATAGTTACATTAGCACTATATATTAAAAGTCATCATAGTTAAAAATAGTCATCGCTCTGAAGACTGTAAGATAAAGAACTAGAAAACAGGAACAGCTTTATGCCATTCACTGCATTGGATGAAAGATCAAAAAGATTATATGTGTAACTGATGTACACCATCTACACAATACTGGATACAGGTTTTGTTATTTCAGACAACAGCCATTCCCCAAACCCTAAAAGAGAACATAAATGCTGCTTTAAGCCACAAAATCTATAAAGAGATGAGATAATGGCAACTTCAAGCAAACGTTACATGTTAAGCTAGACCCTGAAAAGCAATCCAGAAAGCAAGATATACTGGTTTTTGGAAAAAATATTATTTCCTGTGGTTAGCCCTTCCACTGTGGTCTGCTGCAAGCTCCAAAGAAGATCCCTATTCAGATCAGGCACTGAAGGTCTTTGTTACATTTTCTTTTGTATTTCAACCAAGGTGTGCTCACTGCCTTCTCTTTCTATGCATCAAGGGCATCAGTGAGGCCCCTCTCCTCTGTCTAGCCCCCTGTTTTCAGGAGACCTATGACTCCCTCTAAAACAGTTAAATAGGTCAAAAGTTAGAATAATTGGCAGCATGATCTCTTAAGACTCCTTTACCATCCCTTACAGGACAGCTTATTTTTTCATTGTTTTTATGACTAAGCACCTTTAATTGCATAGCAATAAGGAACCATCTCCTCTTCCTTCCCGCCCGCCTCCAAAACTGATGATCACTGAAGATGGCTCATAAAAATCTATTCTCAAAACCTTCCACCCAAATACTCCACTTACGCTAGAGAGTTCTCAGCTTAACAGGATTACTTTCTGGTACTTTCTGCAATCAACTTTTCATCTCATTCCATTCTTACCTCTAGCCATGCTAATTGGAGTGCTACAATCAGGAGTTATTTCTTTTATTTCCCTATTCAAAGAGAGTTTTATTAGAATACTACTTTCACATAATGCTATGCCTTCATGTGGATCAATTTTAATATAGACATTTATCATTTCCTTTCAAGTACAAGGTCTCAGTGAAAGATATGCTTTATGCAAGAGCTTCTAATAAAGACGAAGGCAAAAGGGAAGTACAAAGAAACTCTGAGGGTTAGGTCCCACACCAGAACTTTCAGAGATTAACTAAATGCATAAGATCAAAAATCTTAGAAAGTACTTTATGACCAGTCACCTTCACAGTACGATTAAGGCATAGAATTATTCATTCATGACTCAAATGAATGCCTGGATCGCACATTTAAAAAAATCCTTCTCTGAGGAAGTAAGAGCAACGAAATTTTAATGAAAAAAGTAAGTTTAAGGGAACTGCTGGAAGTCTCACAAAAAAAAAAAACACAAACCAGTAAATAAGAGAAAACCTAGTTTGCTTTCCCATGAAGGGGGTAAACCTAACCAATTTAAATCTCTGTGTAGAACACATTTCAGGGTTTAAGGGACAACAGTGACAGAGCAACAGTACAGACACCTTACAAAGCAGATTACAGTGAAAAACAAATTAAGCACAGATTGTCTCCTACACAAAACCGGGGGATTTTAAGTTTAGCAAACCAGGCAAAAATTAAATATTTTAGAGATTTTTATTTTAGTTTGTCTTACTCTACTTTGACTCCAAGTGATTTCAAGGTTGTTACCTAGACAAAGAAATTCTTCACCCATAACTTAACAAATGTCCAGCTTTATACACTACTCAGATGTGCCACCAGAGGCCTGTAAACAAACTTGAGAACCAGTATCTAACAAAATGGGAAAGCGAAAGCATTTTGCCCTCTTGGTGGTAAAGAGCTGTGAAGCACACCTGAATCAAACGGACAGGCTGAAACAGTTAAAATACAATATCTGAAAAACCTGTACAAACTACTCCTCTCTGAGGCACTAGACAATTCAGACCTCATTAGGTCCCAAGCTAAAGCCAGGTCTAGCTGCAGAACTTGAAAGTATATTGTTTCCATGAAATAGTGCTTACTTCAGTGAGAATGTTGGCAGCCAGTTCAATAAAAATTTCACAATATCATAGGTGGTCACTTCTATCCAATATATTATACCAGGTTCCATAATTTAGAAAAATCACTCTTTAGACAGAAGCAAGAAACTGGTACCAGCATAATTATTAACAATGTGGAACTAATCACTTATACTTTCTCCCCTGCCAATTACTAACTGAAGAGTTTTTGCATACTTTGTTAGTATAATGTTTCTATCTCAAGCAAAGAAGCCACTATATTTTAATTAGAGTATAACAACAAAGTTACATAAGACAATTTGTTTGGGAGGGTGGGGGTGTTTGTTTTCTTGTTTTTAGGAAAGCAATAAAAGCATTTTCAATTAATTTTTTTGAACCACATATACTCTAGCTGTTGCACATTTGCCTTGGAAAAACAGTATGAAACGCTATCAGCTCCTGAACTAGAAACTGTAAGTTTACACAGTCCATGTGCACTTCACCCTGTAGATATTAGCCAAACACATTAATTCAACCCATTACAAACAGAACTAAGAAGGTAATCCTACTTTAGACATCTACATAAATGCCTTCCAGATAAACAGAAAATGGGCTGCTGCCATTTGAATGAAATTATCACTGCCTATAAAAGGAAAGGTTACTTTTCAGGCAGGTAAAATGACAAGTGGGCATAAGTGCTTGAGATCTCAAGTAAAAAGTTAAAGCTGTAAACTCCCCATTAATAGGCAAACCTGTTCTCTGCAATTGTCACTACAACCCAATAGTGTTAGTATTGAAGTTGTTCTTCTCCCTTAACACAGTCAATATGTAATTTTTCAGAAAAATAAATATGCTGGCAGATGCAATCAACTTCCAAAGGATGAATCCTATAAAAAAATATCACAGAATCACAGACTGGTTTGGTTGAAACAGACCTTAAAGGTTATCTAGTTCCAACCCCCCTGCCATGGGCAGGACCACCTTCCACTAGCCCAGGTTGCCCAAAGCCCCGTCCAACCTGGCCTTGAACCCTTCCAGGGAGAGGGCAGCCACAGCTGCTCTGGGCAACCTGTGCCAGGGCCTCACCATCCACACAGAAAAGACTTTCTTCCTTATATCTAATCTAATTCTACCCTCTTTCAGTTTAAATCCACTACCCCTTGTCCTATCCCTACACCCCTGATCAAGAGTCCCTCCCCAGCTTTCCTGCAGCCCCCTTTAACCATTTTAAGTCTGCTCTAAGCTCTCCCCGGAGCCTTCTCTTCTCCAGCTGAACACCCCCAACTCTCTCAGCCTGTCCTCACAGGAGACCTGCTCCAGCCCCTTGATCATCTTTGTGGCCTCCCCTGGGCTCTCTCCAAGAGGTCCACATCCTTCTTATGCTGGGGCCGCAAAGCTGAACATAGTACTCCAGCTTGGGCCTCACAAGAGTGAAATCGAGGGAGGAATTACCTCCCTTGGCCTTCTCATCACGATTCTTTTGATGTGGCCCAGGATACAGCTGGCTAGCCAGACTGCAAGAGCACATTGCCAGGTCATGTTGAACTTATCAACCAACACCCCCAGGTCCTTCTCCACAGACCTGCTCTCCATCCACTCATCACCCAGCCTCTATTTGTGCTTGGGATTGCCCTGACCCATGTGCAGGACCTTGCACTTGGCCCTGTTGAACTCCATGAGGTTCACACGGGTCCCACCTCTCCAGCCTGTCCAGATCACTCTGGATGAGACATCCCCTCCCTCAAGCACCACAGAGCTTGGTGTTGTTGGCAAACTTGCTGAAGGTGCACTCGATCCCACTGTCCATGTCACTGACAAGGTTGTTAAACAGTGCTGGTCTCAACACCGACCCCTGAAGAATGCACTTGTCACCACTCTCCACTTGGACACTGAGCAGTTGTCCACAAGTCCTGGAGTGCAACCACCCAGCCAATTCCTTATCCACCGAGTGGTCTACCTGTCAATTCCATGTCTCTCCAATTTTGAGACAAGGACACCATGCAGGACAGTGTCAAATTCCTTGCACTAGTTGAGGTAGATGATACCAAGATGCATGCATTCTTTAAGCAATAACATGCAGAAGCCGTACTCCAAAAGCAGCATTCATTTCTTATCTTACTATTTTGCAAGTTAACAGTTCAAAAACATGCTTTTGAAGCGTAACTATTCTTGCTCTCTAACAGATGCCAAATTAAAAGGCATAGGGAAGAAAACAGACATTACAGTGTTTCTCTACTACCTATTCTGCATATACCAGTTTCCTTTATAAAACTATCTCTTCACCAAGCAGCTGTTTGGCTAATTGAAATCCTAAGGAAACTACATGGCAATAGGAATTATTTGAAACTGGCTTTAATACACTGAACTGGAGAATTAATAATTTGTCCCCTCATAAAATCAAATACTTTTAAATACCTTCATTGAGCTTATGTATTTTCTCTATCAGCATAGGAACTAGTACTGTGTACAAAACTAAAAATTACTGGTGAATACAGACCAAACAGTCCGTTTAAAAAACAGTCTAAATAAAAGAAAGCTATCAGCAACTTTTTTTATCCCTATGCACTATATCCTTAAATATTCAAGTATATCTGGAGGTAATGATTAGAAAATTTTAAGTTATAGGTTGTTCTTCAGTATTTTTATTACAAAATATAAGTACTGAATATGACCTAAGTAGAAAATCCTGTAGTACCTGAAAAGCCTGTTTTGGCTCCAGACAAAACTAAAGCCCATCCATAATTAAAAAATCCTCTTTGCTTTCAGTCATCACTTAGAATGCGTATGTAATTATTCCCCAAAAAATTATTTTTTCTGGGAAGAAAAATTTGCTGAGTTTAGTCCTAACAAATTAAGTCAAAAAAAAAAAATCACTAAATTCCATAATGACAACATAAAATGTAGCTGAGCACTTAATAACAGAAAAATTATGCTGCGAATGATCTCATCTCACACTTATTAACTGACCTTCTGAATCCTCTATATTAATATTATCCTCACACTGATATCCCGCAGCTGACATTTCCATGACAAACTATGAATACTTATCACTAGGTCATTAAAAAAAAAAATCTACATCTAAACAGAATGAAGTTAGTCAAATACTGTGAACTTAAAGTTTTGATTGATTGCCTTCAATAAAAAGCAAGACAAGCCTAAATTATCTTTATTGCTCACAATGAACAGCTAAATTCTCAGCAGGACTGAAGTATTTGGAAATAGATTCCTGAAAACTTACACACAGATCCCTCGAAAGTATAATCAACAATCTTATACTGGTAAGATAAACATGAATGAGGGAATTGATAATTATTTTGATATAACAAGGATTCAGTTATACCTACTGAACTTCTAAATCCACGATAAAAGTCTAAAATATTCCAGCCTAATCTCTAAAAATTGAAGTGTAGTCATAAGAAAAAACAAAACTATCATGTTCATACTCACCGGAACTTTACTTCCGACTATCTGCATGCAGTGGTCAGCCAAGAGAGGTTATTGTGTAAAAAAGATAATAATAATACATAAATAAACACAGCAAAGTACTTAGTAGGACGTAGCATCACACAAACTTTTCAGTGTTTAATCATTAGTAGTTACATTCTTTCATTACTTTATCAAACTGTTCAAGAGTTAGAGCTTCTCATCAAGAAAATAAGTCGTTCTACTGTAGGAGAAATAATTTGAAATTCTTATGTTCCATTGCTGAACCATCAGTATCTTACACATTTACAAACAACTAACTATCTAGTGTGACAACCACACCTTGAAAGATTAGGAAATATGCCAGTATGTTACAATTATAAGGTCAGATTTTATATATGACACTGAGAAAGCTACAGAAAAAGCTAATGGCATATTGACTTCCTTGTACATACAACAACTTCATTTATTATGAAGCTTTTGATCCATTCTGATGATGTCGTCACTGAATTTAATTGTTTTCATAATCAAAAACATAGCCTACAGTTATAAATCTAACTTGCATTTCAGAAAATTTCATGTGGCATTTTTCTTCAACTGCTCAGTATGGATGCTTTTAATTACATGGACAATTAAACAGTGTTTTTCAGAATGACATCTTGTCTTTTTTACCATGGAACAGCATCTCTGCATATTCATGAAAAAGAAGTTGAACTAACAAGGGAGAAACTGCGGAAAGGCAGCACATCTCTGCCGTGTTATATACTTCGCAGAAATGACCATGTTCCTGTGAACACCAGGACTAGGGACTTCCGCTTAAACACTGTAGGCCTTTCCTCATCAGCTATTTGCTGCAATTTGATAGCAGCCAGTTTATTAAATAACCACTTTTATCTGATTAAGAGCCTGAGACAGTATGATTTTGTTCTCAGATCTGAATTTGATTCTATCTGTTCAGTCTCTGCTTCATTTACTATTCTTATCTCTTCCATTACTCTTTTAGGAAGTCTTTCAGAAGACAGAAGTCCCTGCAAGTCTTTCACAATCACCTCTTCTCTCCTCTTCCTGATGAAGCTTTCTCTACAAGCACAAGATGGACTGTCATCACCAGACAGTCTCTTTTCCTAATTTACTACCTCCTTCTCCCATCAATGTTTATCATTCAATATAGCATGAGATGTCACCAAGTTCAGTTCTGCAACAGAATTCTGAGCCTTCACCATCTCCCACATAAAATTTCCGTAGTCAACAATCTTTCTCTTCAAGTGAGAGAAGGAATCAAAAGCATAGATAACCACTTCACATGAAAGCATCCAGCTTATTAACTTTCACACTTCCTTCATCCCCCAAAGAAAAGGAAAGCTTTTTTCATCCATTGAAAACCAAGGTTTCTTTCTCACTCAGAACTCTGAAGGCAGTACAGTGTTTCAGAAAAGCATGGTCAACATGCTGCAGATGGCAGACAAAGCAGAGAAAATGAAGCACCAAATGTAGAAAGAATTTGGTTAAGCAAATGAGAGTGATATTGTCAAATGAGCAGAGAGCTCAAAAGCCTAACATGAAAAACTGGAAGACACATCAACTGTTAAATGTGTTTTGTGAGCTCTAAGCAGAAGAAAAGGCCCAAGTATTTTCAGCATAAAAAAGGGAGACAGGTGATCTGTGACCAAAGAAAAAGGTAGAAAATTTAAAGAAAGATCATTTTGAATGCAATCAGCATTTTCACGGACAACAAGCCTGAAGATGGCCTCAAGAAAAGTAAGTTTGACAATTCATGATTCAGTAAAAACCGGTTAGAGGTCGAATTCAACCAAGCAGAATACTAGTTTAACTAAACAGAAGACAAAATTAACAGCAAAAATTAGGTTTTACTTTATTGTAAGATCCCAATCAGCATTTTACAACTGAGCTCTACTTCTTATCTTTTCTAAATCAGTTAAGATACTAGCCATTTAAAAGCCAAATTGGGTTACGTGCTACAGAAAGGTCATGTATATTTCTGAACCACTTTAAATTACTCCATTCAAATGCTGCGATTCAACTGCAAGGACCCACTGAAGTACATAAACTTCAATACAAGCTCTTTTTCCATTAGGAATAACAGTTTGCGTTAAGTATAAAACATCCATACTGACGCTGACTTAAGTTCAAATCCCACATTCATGTATGAGGACATTTTAGTTGTGGGGGTTTTTTTAATTGTTAGTACATTTTGGCAAGCATAATCGCCAGTTCTGATAAGTTTCTCATGCTGCAGCTCATATGGCAATGCAATCTGTTAAAATTTTTAGCAGTCAGACATACAGTGGCAGCCATGCTTTTCTTACTCAGCTACAAAATTATGGTACTTGAGGCAGCTATACTTGAGTATCAGTTTAAGATAGATCACCATCGTCCACCTAGTTTTGGGGAAAGAATTGCAAGTACTTCCATTGTGAAATTTTCTACTACTTAAATAAAATATTTTCACTTACTAAAAAAAATTAACATTGGTCATTAAGTGAACACAAAAACCTTAAAACACAATCTGTAGTTCCCAAAGATAGTCTAGACAAAGTGTATTAACAGGAAATTTCATAATATTCACTGTGTAAGCTTGAATAATTCTCCAATAACTTGTATGTTTAGCTAGACCATGCTTTAAGCACTGGATTCCTTCCAGAACAGACTAAAGGACTGTGGATTTTGTTTAAAATGAACTCATGAAGGAACATCACTCCTCTCTAATGTAAATCACCATTTTCACATTATAATGCAATTTTTCCTCATGTTTATAATGTTTCATGCAAAGCATTTGCATTTAATAATTGTGTGTCACTGTACTTTTATTTTTAAAATTTAACACCACAGAGCTGATTTTCAAGGTGAAAACCTAAGTCAACTGTACTGCTTGCAGTCCATGCTTATAGATTCATTAGGCAGACACCAACATAATCTCATTTGCCAGTTTATTTCACTAAGAAACAGCTTATTCAATGCTATCTGTATTTAGCACTCATACTCAGCTCTGTTGAACTTCTAGCAGTGCTGCCATTTTGTATTTGAACTATTATTCCCCAGTCTTCACTTTCAGTAAACTTTTATGGCACACAATAATTCAAGTGTGAAAAAAAGATGAGATTTATCCTAATTCCCAAATAAAATCATATGCATTACTTAATTTTATTGAAGAACTATGATGATCATAAATTCTACCACTTAAAGCATACTACAGCCCCTTGGATACACAAAGCTACCTACCCCACACACACACACACACACATAATTCCCTCCAGTACTGCAACACATTCAGTTCCTCAGAATTCATCATTAACTTTTTCACAAATCTTTATACAACTAGTAGTGGCACAAATCAGGACAAATTCTATTGCTAAGGCAACCACAACATATATAGTTTCATTCAACATTCCTGAAATTTGGTGGTATATTCTCCTTTAAACGGTAAGATCTATATTTACTGTAGTCAACTTTTTAACACAAAAAAAAGGCATTACTAATAAGTACCAATAGTCCCACTGCAGAAAATGGAGTTCTTTACTACCCGACCTTCTATTTCTCCACCCCAAAAAATCTGGGGCATCCAGTCATTGTCTTACACTTCTGGCACCTCAAAACAGACTGACTTGAAAAATTCTGCATGAAGGATCCATCAACAAAGCCTTAATCAACCAACTTCAGGATAGAGAAAGATCAACAAAAATGAAAGGTCTGGATGTATTCTATTCTACTTAAAATATAATTTGAAACTTACTTCAAGACTATCTTTCCACTAATTGAATAATTTTATTTACCTTCAGAACACTTCTTAAAATATTTAATGCAGAACTAAACATATTAAAATTAAGCTAAAACACTGAATTATTCTATATTAAGTAATTTTAGTATCTTGATTCCATGTTTCTAGCACTGCAAATTGTACATCTAGAATGTATGCAATTACTGAAACCATGAAGTCATGCCATCCCTTCCAAAAACTTTTGGTACCAAAAATTTAGAAGATTAATTCCTCAGAAATCCACTCAGGTTCCATCCATTACTCTATAGCACTGAATTTAGGTCTTATGGTTTACAAGGAAACATCAAGTTTTTACATTACCTAACAACTGAAAAACAAACTTCACCTTCAGATGCAGCTGCAAGCATATGTATTAATAAGTGTATTTATACACAGGTATATTAGTAAGTACGGATTAATTTTTTTTTTCCTACTACTCTTAGAACATAAATCCAGAAAAATAAATTGAAAGTCTCAAGCTTCAAAAGCATAAAATTCACAAAGTTAAGCTTCTTACTTTCATCTATCTGTCCTGGAGAGATGACTACTTACAGATTTGGCAGTTGCAGAAATGTATTGGACAACCATCTCACGTTTTGTGGTCAAGTCTTTATCTCTTAAAGGAGCTTTACGTTCTTCATTTAGATTCATGTCTTCCTATAAAGAAACAGGCCATACAACATCAAATTCTATTTCATGCTTTTTATTAGTATCTGTTATTTTTTTACTCATTTTCTTAAACAAACAGCTCTTTTTTAAACAAATAGAAGTGACTTTTTCCAGCGTATGTGCATTTGTTTGTTTAATTCTGAGCTACCCAATTTTTTCATTTAATTCTGTTACTTCAAGTGTTTGCTGTTTCCAAGACTTAGCCAAAACTGCAGTTACATCACGGGTAGTTACCATTAGTGAAATTTGGTTCAAGAAATAAAACTAGAGGACAAAATCAAAAAATTCTACACCTCAAGCTGATCACATTAAGTCTTAACTTTTGTGAAGTTCCTGTGTTTTTTTAAAATCATCTTGCCACAGCAGACACCATTCCCGCATTATCACAATGGAACAGGAGATTTTTTTAGTCCATACTGACCATATGGAAGTTTACTACTATTTTAGAGAATTATATAGAAAACAGTATTTCTCACTCAAAATACTGCATTCTCCTGATACTTCATGTATCAACACCTGTGTGCACAGCAGAATTCACACACACCTACTTCAAAAGTTTGGTTTTGTATTACTAATAGAAGCACAAACCTGGACAAGTGATCCTAAGACAGAAAATATTCAAGAGCATACAAAAAGTCAGCTTTCTATACATTAAGATTTTATTAATAGCAATTACTATTTGTCAAAGACATTTACTTAATTTTATCAAAAACTATCCTTCAATACCAGTATCTAACTCCTGAAACTGAGCTCCATAAAGGTTATTTTAATGAAGCAGTCAACAGCTTAAGATTTTTGGTTTTTGCTTTTTGTCTTTGTTTTCTCTGTTAAAGTAGACAAGTAATTTAAAAATATATAGTACTAGCATTCTGTGAGCTACTCAATTGTTTATGTACCAATTTAGACAGGTCTACTAGGCCTATGCTGTACCCTCCCAAGTAATTACTATTTCCAAAATGAGAACATTTGAAAATCACTACTACATAATCAATGCTAGCATGAAAACACATTAAAACCTCATGAAATAATGTAGCACATCGTCTTACCATCATTTTTTCAAAGAGATCCATAACTTCCTTTTCTGATAAGTTCATGCAACGCTCATCAACAAGTGCCTGTGCAAGCGGGATTTCACTTATAGAAGGTTGAGAGTCAATAGGATGCTGAATGAGAGGTTTCTCTTTTTTCACCGCTGATTTTCTGAAGCTTGTTATTCTGTCACGCTGCAAAGACATCCATTTAAAAATAAGCCAAAATAGAATCACAGGAAAGCAGCCAATTACATGGCAGCACTACACACATTTTTAGTTAATCCAAGCAGCAGAGTTAAAACTCAAACTGAACTGTAAGTAAAACCACTATAACATTCAGAGATTACTCTTCATAGAAAGGCAACAACATTTAAGGTAAATTCATGAGAAGTCACATGCAAAAGGGATATAATTATTTCTCACAGTTTCAAAAGTATACCATCTAGGTTAAACTCTTAGCATTTCAAAATCTTGAGTTCATCTTCTCACATTAGTCCCTAATTATCCTGATAGTGAATAAATATGGTACCACAAAGGTAATGTCCAAGCGTTCCTTCACCTGAAGAGCTATAAGTCTTTGGAGGACAACTGAAAAAGCCAGCGTTGGGAAGGAGGTACTCACAAGTTCATCAGGCTTATAAAAAAATCCTGCTAAAGTAAAATAAAGTTTGTAGAGGAATTAATGCTCCAAGTATAGTTCACAATTCCTTGAAGTGTTTTTGAGTATGGACTCCTGAAATTAGTGCATAATTTTTAAAAGCCAGGTAATGGATTACTCACATAGAAGCAGCCACCCATAGTTAAATACACATAACAGACATTAGTGAAAGCTTATCATACAGTCTGCAACGACGTTTCACTGGTTAAGGCTGGCTTGTTTTATGCCTTATGCCAACACCCCGCCCCTCCCCACCCCCCCGCCTTTTGGGGTTTTTTTAAAGCATGCTTATTCAGTTAATTTGTTAATATTGGAAACAACCAACAATAGCACCTTCCTTATAAGGCCATTTATTACTGAATTATTAATATATAACCATTCCAAATAAAGTCCGAATTTTATTTAATTATATTGTCTATAACCATATACATACATACATACATACATATATATATATATATATATATATATATATATATGTATGTCCACT